AAATATTAAAAGGATAAAGGGGTACTCAGGAGTGGGGTACATGGCCCCATCAACATTTTTGATGGGTACACATTCTGACAGACATATGAATTTTTAGAGGAAAATATTTGTTTATGATTCAAATTCGGAGAAACTATCAAATCAAGGAGCAAAGAAAAGGACTATCAGAGAGAATAATTGTGCCTGATTACAGATTTTCTAATTCTTTTTTTGTTTGCAATTTTTATACGAAGTGCAATAAAAATATTTCTTGTGACATTTTGACCTTGTTAGCGTTGTGTGACAGGTACTTGATGTAAAAATAACGAGATGATTTTGTTCCTCATTATATTACTTATTATTTATTCATTACAGCCACACGGTTTTGGGGGTAAGTAATATCGCAGATGTACCCAGCAGCTATGTCATCACATGTTATAAACGTTTTTAAAACAATAAAATTCAATTTTTGAAGTTAAGAAAAGTCGTATTCACCCTTACCTTCGTCCATCTAGGATTCGTCCTTCGGAAAGCTATTGCCATTTACGTCGGTCTCTAAAGCTGAAATGATCTGGTCTAACAGCCACCATTCTTCCATATAAAGAGAGTTCAAAGTAATGGTAGTTAGTTCTCTTCTTTCACAATTAGGTGTAAGTCATCCTCAGTCAGAAATTAGATTCCTGTTTCCCTCTAAAGAGTGTTTCATACTGCTAGAACGCGGTACAGGTCATATAACCTGTTAGACAGTTTCCGGAATGGCACACTAAGAGAACAAGGGTCAACGTTCTCTCCAAAACTATACTATTTGTCTTACAAGCTTCCGATCCCCATAAGGACTAAATTACCAACTACTATCGATGCAAATTATTCCCAACCATGCTTCTCGGAACAATCTGATATTTCCTGCCCATATAACCATATGCTAATATGACAATTCTGCCCATATACCATTCCAACAGTTTGATACATACTCCGTTCTAAAACAATCTATATTTTATTTCATTGTTAATAGAATCGTTTGTTTTCTCATGTGTCTATTTTTTTCCAGTACATTTAATATATATTTTATTTGTTATATATTGTTCATATATATAAATATATATATATATATATATATATATATAATTGCAAACACTAAAAACATTGTTTCTTAATTTTTCTTTTTTGTTGGTATTACAGACCATGTAGATCTTTTGCGCCTTAACAAGCCTGTTTCATCTCTGCCTGCCATAGGCTATTTAATTCCATTTATCTGTCCGCAGCTCTGTTACATCTTTGTTGATTAACCATCTGCTTTTTAGTTTTCCACGTGGTCCATTAAGACATTCATTGTTACATAGAAGCTTAAAGATGGGTTGCTACAAGCTAGATGCAACGCCCATTTTAACCTCCGTGCCTTCATATCAAGAGATATTGATTAGTCTTTTTTTTCTCTTAGTATTCTGATCCCAGATCGCTCCGGTTACTGTGCCGAGGATTTTTCTATTAAATCATTCAACACTTTTTTTCTTAGGTGCTGTTTATTGTCCAGGTGCCAAAGCCATGTATTAAACTGGCTTTATCATAGAATTGTACACTCTTAGTTTGAGAATTATTGAGATTTTTTTTTATTTCAATACCTTCAAGAGGAAGAAGAAAGCTCTGTTTGCGCTAGCTATAGGCTGTTCTATTTTTGCCAGTTGGTTATTCATTTAAATTATTGTGGAGCCGAGGTATTTGAATTTTTGTATTCTCAGGAATGAGCTTCCTTCTACGCAGATCTTGTTATTGGAATATTTGGCTTATTATCATATATTTTGTTTTATAAATTATAGATTGCCGTACGTGGGTACACATTCGCAGAAATTGTACACTTTGTGTGAAGATCTAAAATAGTAAACCATACTGTTTATCACTCTTTTACGTATAGGGTGACTTTGAAACGTCTCGCGTATTCAATCGAATTTACCTGATATCTATTAAATACAAAAACTTTGACAAGTAAAAAAAAAAATATTTAAATAAAATAAAAATAATGTTAAAAAGATATAAAAAAAGTAATCGCTGCTTTGCAATATTTTCATACACGTATGCTATGAAGGCATGACCAATCGTCTCACAGTTGGCAAAATGACTGATTTTGGTGGACAAAAGTCAATCTCTCAATTGTTATCTATTCAATGGCCGTTGTTTACTATGGTAGTTGGATATTCCAAAAACAGTATTACAAGTTTTGGAAAGTAATTTATAAACACTTTGTAGACCTTTGTATTTCTGATTGACAGTTAAGTGGCTCTTATGTTCTTATCTATAGATGTATACAACTTTACTGGTATTGATGCTTACTAGCAAGTAAGTTTGACTACTAAATATAAGAATATTGTTTAGAAAAAAATCAAATTACTGTCTTACAATTGCAAAATAAAAAAGTATAAAAGTAGCGAAGGCCATTGCATGGTTTAAAATAGAATTTAACATAGTTTCTAAACATTTTTAAAAATACAGATTTTTTTAAAAACCGTAGATTGAAAAATAAAAAACATTTAATAAATTGTGTTTTTGTTGTTTCATAAATAAGCTGAATTTAACAGTGGGATTGGTTTCAGTTTAATAGTAAGGAAGAGGGATTATTTGTCAAATTTTAACACAAGAAGGTATGTCGTCCAACGTTTTTATTATACTTAAAGTAGACGTAGAATATCACATTAACTGTAACTTATTTTTAGTAATTCCATTTACAAAAACTTTTTTTTTTTGTTTTATTTATTTATAAAACAAAACACGTATAAATTAGTGAATTGATTGTCATAAAACTAATAAATGTTTATGAATAGTACATAACTGTTTCCTTGGTAATATTTACTTTTCTAGTATGATTTTGAAATAAAATTATTCCTAATTACGGAGACACATGTAATAAATAACATATTAAATTACTTAATAAATAAGTTAATTGCTGTAATTGAGCAACATTATATGAAATTCAGAAATCAAATTCCATGGAGGTTTTTTGTTATTATTTTTTAGTCGAACAATTGCTAAATATAAAAAAATGCTGACAAAATTGTAAGCTTTATGTGTATTTGTGGGATCTAACAAATCACAGTATGCCTTCTGATAATAATGAAATATCGAAAATCATAAAGATAAAAATTCAGCTTTTCTGTGAACAGTTCAGAAAGTTGTGCGCGAGTTCATATACATAGCGCCATCATCTGTTCATAAGATTAACTTACATTAGATAAATTAGAGAATTACGTTTCAAAAACAAGAAAACTTTATCTACATCTATCCGTGGTGGTTACTTTTACTATTGTTATATAAATAATTTCCATATACATGTTAATTCATATTTTTGCCGATGATAATTACTTTCCTTGGCATCATTTTGTTTATTATTCTCTTTCAGCATTCTTCCGGTTATAAAACTAAGTCAAGTAAATAAATGCCAAGACTCAAGTATTCTAATACTCTGAATGAAATTTACATTTTTTTTATGGCAGTATTAAAGTTTTATTAGCAAATTATCATACGATTACTTTTATAATTTATAAGATCTTTTTGTAAAGTTTTTCAACTATTTTTATGAAAATCAGCGACTCCCAAAATATTACAATCGACCTTTCGAATTTTGTCCACCTAAATTCCTAATTTTGGCTATTGTGCTTCTGTTTAAAAAAAAATAAACGTTTTTGCCGCCCAACTGGCAAAATAAACAACAAGTAATTCTATTAATCTAAACAAACCTAATTTAAAATAATTTTAATTCAAGTATAATGCACTCTAATTTCTTCAAAAACTAACGAAACAAAACAGTAAACAAAAAACTTATTATAAGTTAATTATAAATAGAAACAATAAGCATAATTATAAATAGAAACAATAAGCATAAATAACTTATTTTAAAAATTGGAAGATTGATTAAAAAATAATACATGCTGCTACACTCAAGAATAATAGATATCTATTTATATCATATGTACAGATTAATCAGTAAATAAAATAATTAACATATATTTGAACAAATTAGAACCAATATATATGTATGAGAGGTAATTTGAGAGGAAAAATTTAATATTGAATACCAACCTCCTCATATTCCCGACAATAATCAGTAATTTAATTGTTATCACATTCAAGTATTTATACTAGTTGAATATGATAGTACCAAAGTACCGGATATATATACGCTTGCATGTAAATTTTGTTTTTAGAAATTACCGATTTTCATTTCTTTAATAATACTCTGATATGGCTTAATAATAATCTTTAATAATACTCTAATATGGCTTAATAATAATCTTTAATAATATTCTAATATGATGTTGGAATTTATTTTTATATACTTGAGTCAGTTCTCAAAAGCGTTCACTAATAAAATTATTTATGAAAACCGTAATATTTTTATCCATTGACTGGCAAATCAGTTTGTCATATTAAATCAATTATATATATATATATATATATATATATATATATATATATATATATATATATATATATATATATATATATATATATATATATATATATATATATGTATGTTATATATATGTTATATGTATGTTGTATATATATGTTAAAAACTGTCAAACGCTGGGCAATTAATTGTTTTTCTTACAAATACATATCTTTTTTTTAGAGATATTTCTTCAGCATACTAGCTAAACATCAAAGATTTTTTTAAAAAATCTGTTATAAAATTTATATATTTTTTTTGGTCCATTGGTATATGTATAATTAAAAAATATTTGCTCGATAATAATATTTTGTACACAAATCAGTCTATCGTTAAAAAAATAATAATTATTTAAAAGTTTATTTGTTAATTTTTTTAATATAAACTGCCTTTAATATTCTATTAATATTAGTAGTTTATTAAATTGTCTATATATATAATTATTTTAGCTTTGTCATAAATCGTTTTGTCTCCATATATTTCGGAGTTAATTTTAATTATTTAATTTCAATTTAATATACAATTTGATTTAATATTTGTTAAAAAGAAATTTCAATCATACAAACATTATATAACGGAGTACTTATTTTAGCAAAGTGAACTGCACAAGTAGCGTTACATATGTTACTGTTCCTGCCACCATCTGAAAAAAAAAATTAATTCAAAGAATTAGTAAATCAAACTTAGCCACAAATAATTGATCTCATCACCCATTAATACGTAGTGTTAAACTAAATTGAAATTTAGCTAAATACAGGTCCTTGTGATTTTCCAATCGTAATTACATCGGTACCTATATTTATAAATCACATTAGTTATTGTATATTGTAAACCTCTGATAATGCTGTTATATTTTAGAAAAAATAATAAAATAGATGCGATTAGGACGATCCAAAAGAGACTAATCTTTTTGTGTTTTTTTTAAACTATAGTGTTTAAAAAAGCTATAGGATAAATTTGGGTTACTGTAGTAATGTCAGGAACTATCATTCTGAATTAAAAAAAAAAATCATTTAGCCTCATATAGGCTGTTTACTGTATTTAGCCTTTATAAAATAAAGCTACGATTCATAGGAAAGGATTGGAGAAATACACATAAAGTCAATCTGGATGGTAAGTGTCTTACATTAATTTTTTATACACATGGAACTAGTCAACTATACATAATTATTACAATTGTCCTAATAATTTAATATTACTTATAATAAATGCAAATATTATTTTATAGAAAAGTTTTAAAATAGTTTCACATAACTGAATTGCTGATTTTCGGGTAATCAGCATAAAGAAGGGACATTTTGTTTTATAGTTGGCTGGAACATAGCCATACCTGTAATAAAAACCTTCACTGGAATCGATTTGATAGAGATAAATCGAGTTTGCGTTTACTGAGCACAGCTCGGCAAAAATGAAGGAGGGAGGGGGTACACAACAGTGTGTAGCTGCAGAAGTTAACGAAACCTTGGAAAGAGATAGAAACACCACTGAAGAAAGTAATGAAAGAATAATGACCCAAGAACTGGAAAAACAAACAAGCCACCCAACTTATGCACAAGTCATGTCAAATCAAAAACCGTCAAGCCGTGAGTATGCCATTGTGTTACAAACAATTAAGGGAATTAAACAGAAAGAATATGTTACAAAAACTGCAGACTTAGTAGAACCAAATGCAATTAAATTTGCATCACGTATATCCAATAATAGGTTTTGCATTCACTTGTCGAACAAGGAGCAGGTAGATAAATTACTATCCAAACATAGAGAAGTTGTGATAGACGAACATATAATTCCAATTCGTAGATTAGTAAATTCAGCAAAACGTATTATAATATCAAATGTATGCCCTAGCATTCCAAATTACGTAATAGAAAACGAACTCAATAGAATGGGAATCAAACTACTTTCACCAATGTCATTTTTAAGGGCAGGATACCAGGACCCCAAAACAAGTAACATCATGAGCTTTAGGCGACAAATCTTTATTAATCCTGAAGATATCAGTCACCTAAAAACATCAATTGTAGTCCAAAATGAAGGTCTTTCTCACAGAATCTTCTTAGCGGAAGATATCTTAATTTGTTACATCTGTAGAAAACCGGGACACTTCGCTGCAAATTGCCCTGACTCAGACGATATAGACGATGAACCATGTTTACAAACCCGTCCACTAATGACTCCTAACAATCAAACCAAACTTTCAACCGAAACTGAAATTATAAAAACCAACACGGTTAATCAAAATAGTGAGTTACCTACTAACAAAATTACAGAAAAAGAAATTCCCACAACGTTAATTAAAAAAAATAACAATAGCAACAATATTAAGCCAATAGAAAGTATAAATGGCTCATCGGCAACAATGAAAACCACAAAAGGAAAAAACACTCTACAAAACATTACTACAGACAAAAAGACCATTCTTAATACACCAGAGAAAAAAATAACTGATTTAAATAAAAAGGAAAAAATAATTGAAGAAAAAAATAACTTACAGCAAAAAACAAAACCGACCACAAAAGATATACTAGAACCAATCCGTGACTTATTAATGAAAAACAATTACCCTCTTCAATTTAAAGAAATTTGCCTATTATACGAAACAATTCAGATAGAAAAATTGTCATCAAACACACCTGATTTGATAAAACAATTCACAAAGGATAAAGAAGGGTTAATTAGGATGCTAACAGACATTAAGGGATTCGTAGATCATAGAGGTATGAAAATATGGTCAACAAAAATTTTGAAACTACTGAACGGAAATGACCTCACCGAGATCACAACAGGTGAGAAATTTTCGAAGATATCAACGGGCAACAGAGTCTTTAAAAAAGAAAAACTCAAACATGGTAAAAACGATTCAATGGAATTGTAATGGTTACTACCGACACATCGAGTACTTTAGAAAACTAATGACTGAAGAAAACCCTATTTGTTGTTGCTTACAAGAAACACACCTCAACGATAAGCAAATAGTAAAATTGCGAAATTACAAAATATTCAGAAAAGATAGACTGTCTGAAAGAACGTGGGGAGGAGTAGCCATGTTTATCTTAGAGAACATCTATTGCGAAGAACTACCATTACAAACTCAAATTGAAGCACAAGCTGTCAAGATACACTTAAACGAACCTTTGACAATCTGCAATATATACTTACCATCTTCACAGGAATTCACCGATACAGACATAGAGGGAATTGTAACCCAGCTTCCAAGACCTTTTCTAATGCTAGGAGACTTCAATGCCCACAGCACCTTATGGGGTTCGAAGCTTCCAGATTATAATCACAGAGGTAGAAATATCACAAAATTCCTTGAAAACAACACTTCAACAGTACTTCTAAATTCAGGGGATAACACTCATTTCAGCTCATAATATAACACTCATAATAATTTCTCCGCAATAGATTTAAGTTTCTCTGATGCAAGATACTCACCTAAAGTAAAAAATTGGAGTACTAAAAGCCATTTGTACGGAAGCGATCACTTCCCAATTATAATTGAAACATGGGGAAACAGTATTATTATGCCATCGAACACCAGATGGAAATATGAAAAAGCAAATTGGGAAGGTTATAAAAAATGGATTATCCAAGGCTTACGAACCATACCATATGGACAGAATTTAGAAGAGAAAATATTTTATTTTAACGAGTTAATTATTAACACAGCAAAAGAAACTATTCCTACAGTCAAAAATAATATGAAACCTCATGATGTACCGTGGTGGAATCACAATTGCAATGAAGCTATAAGAGCAAAGAAACGAGCCCTAAATCGATACAGAAGAAGTAGAACTGTTGAAAATGCAATCGAGTTCAAGAGACTGCGATCTATTGCAAACAGAATAATCAAAGAAAGCAAGAGAGCATCGTGGAAACAATATGTTTCTTCCATAAACTACCTTACCCCGACGAATGAGATATGGAACAAGATCAAGGCCATCAGAGGAATTAGGAAGCAAAACTTAATTTCAGGACTTAATATTGACGAACAGATCATAACGGATCCACAGGACATTGCTGAAGCCTTTGGAAAATATTTCAGAGAAATATCTTCCTCAAGCTGTAGCGATGACGCGATAAATGATCATGAAATACATCAAAATTACATTTCAGGGCAGAGCCACTCTGATGAATACAATAGACCATTTCGACTAGATGAACTAAATTCTTCGATTAATAAGTGCAAAGGAAAATCAGCTCCTGGTCTCGATGAAATTCCAGGAGAGTTCATAAAGCAGCTACCAGATACAGGGAAAATATATCTTTTAAATATATATAACGAAATTTGGACAAGCAGAACATTTCCAACTAAGTGGAGGAAATCTGTCATAGTACCGATACCAAAAAAAGAAAAGAGCACCGTTCCCAAGGACTATCGACCCATTTCCCTTATCTCATGCGTTTCCAAAATTCAAGAAAGGATGGTCAATATAAGATTGACTAGTATTCTGGAATGTAAGAATGTCCTTTGTCCATACCAATTTGGCTTTAGGCCAAATCGTTCAACTATTGATTCTCTTTTATCATTAAGTTTAGAAGCGCAGGAAGCTTTTTCACACGGAGAACACTTAATATCAATATTTCTGGACCTTGAAAAAGCTTATGACACAATGGAAAGAGGACGCGTGTTGAAGATTTTGGAGGAACTAGGAATAGGAGGAAATATGTGGTATTACATTAAAAATTTTCTAACCAATAGGGAATTTTCAGTAAGGGTAGGAAACACTTTCTCGTCAAACCATCGCTTACAAAGGGGTAGTCCACAAGGATCTCCTCTTAGTTCGACCCTATTCCTTCTTGCGATTAATAGTATAGGGTCCATTATCAAGACCCCGACCAAATGTTTCCTATTTGCCGATGATATTGTTATCATCGCCAATAGCATAGTCATATCACAGCCAAAAGCAAATCTATTCCCTATATACAGTGGAGGCTGCAAGAAGTGATGGATAGAGTAAAAGATTGGACAAGGGAAACTGGATTTAAGATATCATCAAGTCTAAATGTTTACACATTTGTAGAAGTCGAAAGTGTCAGCAGAATAATCCACAAATATTTATAGAAGGTTCCTCAATTGAATATACAGAAAGTCACAAGTATCTAGGAATGATAGTTGATAAGAGACTGAATTGGATACAACATATTACATATTTGAGGGAAGAATGCACAAAAAGACTCGGAATTCTTAAATGTCTCTCACACTCTAGCTGGGGTGCCGATAGATGCACTCTAATAAAAATATACCATTCTATAATACGCAGCAAAATAGACTATGGAGCGCAGATATATAGTACAACCAACAAAACTATATTGAGGATGTTAGATTCTATACACAATTCAGCCCTAAGAATATGCACTGGAGCGTTTCGAACTTCTCCAATCGACAGCATCTACGTTGAATCTGGAGAAACATCCTTAAACTTGAGACGAGAATACCTATCTCTGAAATACATTGCCAAATTGAAAGCATCTTCCTACCACCCATTAACTCCATATTTATTTTCAGAAGAATCAGAAAGAAACGGACTTAGAAATATAGAAAATAACATTTTTAAACAAGCAATTTACAATGCAACAACTAAAATAAACATGGATACGACCATTATAAGACCCATCCCAGAATTAAAAATGCCGCGTTGGAAAAAAGATAGACCATTTATTAATAAATCGATGACTAAAATTGCAAAGGCATATCCGCTTGAAATACAAAAATATTTTTTAAAGCTAACGGAACAATATAAAAATTTCGATTTTATATGTACGGATGCATCCAAAGAAGGAGGTAGCGTAGGATGTGCTTTAGCGAGTAAAGAAAAACAATTACTGTTTAAATTACCAGGAGAATGTTCGGTATTCACAGGAGAGGCCACTGCCATCATGAATGCTTTATATCTTATAAGCGAAACTGAAAAGAACTACTGGGTAATTGTGACGGACTCATACAGCGTTTTAACTGCCATTGACAATCCATATCCTAAAAACTCCATAATTAGGGAAATACTCAATATCTGGTGGGATCTAAAAAATAAAGGAATAACAGTTGTATTGGTATGGGTACCAGCTCATTGCGGAATTTTAGGAAATGAAAATGCTGACAATGCAGCCCATTTAGCAAGAAGTGGAGGAGAAGAAGAGGAAGTGACTAGAGTGAAACATATCACTTTAGAAGACTGGGTACACGGGATAAAGAAAAAACAACTGGCAGAGTGGGAAAAAGAGTGGAGGATCAAAGAGTGCAAGCTGAAAGAAGTGAAACCCAATTGCGATAAATGGCTCACTAGCAACAGAAAGTCTAGGCGTGAAGAAATTATACTGTGCCGCCTAAGGATTGGGCACTGCCAGTTCACTCATGGCTATCTTTTAAGAGGTCTAGAAGCTCCTACTTGCGAGAAATGTAACAATACACCGCAAACTGTGAAACACCTTCTAGTAGAATGTTCCCAATTCGAAACGCTCAGAGAAAAAATAGAACTAGGAAAAACACTAAAAGAAATACTAAAAGACAATGAAGAAAGAGTCTCGATAGTGTTAAATTTTTTAAAAATTGTAAACTATTATAACAGAGTATAAATCATAGAAAACGCCAATGACCCTTTATGGTAGAGGCGAGAAAAAGGAAAAAAAAAAAAAATGCAAATATTATTACATAATATTAAATATAAATGGTATTTATATTTGCAGTAAATATTTACTAATAATATTTAAGATAATTTTAATATTAATTATAATTATTTCTAATTATCACACAATGATTTAACTCCATGATTTATCATATTTATATTTCTTAGGCTACTTGATGATGTGTATACATATATATTTTTTAATATAAACTTTCTGACAAAAAGTTAATACATTTTACTACATGTTCTATTTTATTTACTTTTTAATGAATTGCTGTTAAATTTTTATGTTTTGTACTTATTATAGCCCCTCTCGCCCTAACTATCTAATACCTAAGTTTTATCTATGTTAACTAGAAACTAAAAAAAAGCCTCGACACCATATCAGTCTGAGTAGAATACAAATAAATTAATTAATATGATTATACTGTTCCTAAATCCATCAGGGCTAGAAACTGTTATACCTTATTTATATATTTAATTATTTCTGTTGATAGATAATTTTTTTTTTTTTTTTTAAAGTTCCATTTAATAGGAAAAAAGAATAAAAATTTGTTTGAAATCTTTAATTGGAAAGTTTTAATAGAAACAAATTCAGTTCCCAAACAAAATAATAACAATTTAAAACAAAGATTTAACTGACTAAAAATATAATTTAACTTTTCATTTAAACCCTGCAATGTATATATTTCTTAATAAATATATTATTTTATTACAAAGTATTATTAGCCTTTAGAACGTTAGAACGCCTTGTCAAAAATGAACTCTCCAACTTCCTAGAGGAACGTTCCCTCATCAACCTATTCCAATCTGGCTTTCGACCTGGCCACTCAACGCACTCCGCCCTCCTTAAAATAACCTATGACCTCCAAAGCTCCATTGAACACCCTTCAAAATTTTTCCTAAGCGTTTGACACTGTTGACCATAACTCCTTACTAAATTGCACAACTTTCCTCTACCCAGCAGTGCCCTGTGTTGGTTCAAATCGTTCCCAGTATGTAGTCTTCCCAGGTCAACCTGCTCCTAAGATCCTCCTCCTCTCCTGTGGTGTCCCTCAAGGTCCCTCTTTATATCCTACTCTCTTTACATTAATGACCTTTCCGATCCATCACTTCCGCGATCCGAACTATTATCAGCCACAAAATATTTCAAGAAGAATTGGATGGGGTTTGTGACTGGGCGACAGCTAACGACTTTTATTTTTTGTGTCTTCCCCTTCCTCACCTTTAAGGCTATACAGGGTTTTCCTGGGCCAGAAAGTGAGGGTGGAGATTTAAAAGACCCCCCTCCCCGCACCGGGGGAGATTATCTAGTAATCTCATGCACCAGGTTGCCGGGCAACGGCGGTGCTGTGCACACACGTTAGCCCATTCGGCCACCCCACCCACAACACAGCTAACAACTTGAAGTTGAATGCGGAAAAGAGGAAGGCAATCTAAATAGGCTCCAATCACTGCCTAAAAACTGTTCTTAATATTCCAACTCTGTTCCTGCATGATAATTGCATCAGATTTTACCACACCATCTAAAACCTTAGAATAATCTTTGATCAAACGCTTTCCTGGAAAAAACATGTATCCAATATCTACCACCTTATCTTTTCTAACTTAAAACGCCTAACTTACTTCCGTCACCTATTTCGCCTTGAAACTTGTAGCCTCCTATTCACTTCCCTGATATTTCTTCACTTTGACTATTCCTGTACTGTATATGGGGCATCTCTGGGGATCTCGAGGCGAAACTAAAATCTTTGATAAATTGCTTTATATGATTCATCTTCGGTATCCCAAGTATTCATCTCTGTTTCCCGTTTCTATTCAGATTTGAAGTGGCTTTATCCTTCCTACCGTCGCAAGTATTTTCTGGAATCCTGCCACTTTCAAGTCATCCGATGCCGCCGTCCTTCATACATCTCGGAGTTCCTTCAATTCAAATTCTCTGTTCGTTCCCGCAATACTCGTTCCCGATCTTCAGATTTATACACAAAGGTCCACCGAACCCTTTTTTTGCCACTCCACCCACTAGGCCCACCGAATCCCTGCTTTTGACAGATCGTTCATTATCCGATCCTCATCCTTATGGAACTCCATCCCTACCTACATCCGTCAGTCCAATACCCTCCCTACCTTTAAATCCCGTCTGTTCAATGATTTCTTATCTATCCAGTCCCCGTAAAATTGTAAGTAGATATTACTGTAAATATGTATATAAATTGTTAAATCCTTCTTAATTATTTTTATTTCATTTTTCATTTCTTATTAATAACAGATTAAAGTAACTTAATTTTTTTATTATGACTATTTAATTACTATGTATTTTTGTTTGCATATCTCTGAGGTTCTTTAGCCCACATTTCTATCTTTCTGTATTATTCTAAAGGAACTCGTCCCTGAATAAAAAAAGGTATTATTATTATATCTAAGTCTATCAGATATTTATTGTTAATTCTTACCGATGTCAATAAAGAAAAGTCGAGAGTGAAAAAGTTGCATGGGTTTGCCTTTATTTCCCGTCTCGTTGTCAAGTACATCGATATGTTAACCTGGAACATAAATCACAATTAATTGTACGACTGATTAAGAATATTAAAAAAAATCACTAAGCCGTTTTACAACTTACAAATAATATTGAATAATAAGGATCATATTTTGTATTGAATTGAAAGCAATCTACTGTATTTCAAACATTAAAATAACTTTATGATATTACTTCCTTGGACAATGATTTTCTAGTCATAATGTTCCTGAAGAGTTCTCTGTTGAAATCTTCTGCCTATAAGACAAAAAAAAATGTATACATAACACCGATAGTAAAAGTAGCATTTTATTATACATTATATTTATATACGTTTTGTTTATAAATATTTTATACACGCTTTGACGCCAACACGATAAAATATTGACTTGTTCATATATCCAGTTATCTTATATGCGTGACAATCATGGAAAAATAAACTTTTTAGGTCAGTCTTCGCAAATCGACATTTTAATTTAATAGATTTTTGTCGAGTTAAATTAGGACATTATAATTTTTCTATCTAATTCACAATATTGTGAAATATATGAAAATTCTATCGTTTAGTCACATTGCTTTTGTTGTCTAAAACCATCATAATAAGCTAATCTGTATTCGTTTATCTATTTTCGCTTTAATTTGGAAAGATATAACTCTCATAATTTCATAGCCATATGAATGTTTAGCAAACTACTACTTAACGACTTAATTTTATTATTCGAAATTATTTTTTATTATCGTATTTGTAAAAAACATTTCTAACTATAATTTTTCATCAAAATAAGGATTTAATGAAAAAATATGTACGATATTTAAACTTAAATGTAAAATGCCCTTTAAGTCCTAAGCTGCAATACCGTCAATCAAATCCACGTATATTACCGAAATTTTTTTTTCAAAAGAGTAAAACTAAAATGTATCCAAGTGTTAGGAAAACAATAAAATTCTTAAAGAACTTCCTAAAAAAAATTTATTTATTTTAATGGAAAATATAGTAATAATTAAATAAATGAAAATAATCTCACCACAGAACAATTTACTTATTTCCTTAAGTGATTTAGAAAACAAATATTTCACGATTTTAAATTACAATATTTTATACAATAAATCTTCACTAAGAGCATTATTGATACAAGTTAACATTCAAATATGTTTTTGTGAATTTTGACCTTATTTTTTTTTTTTAAAAAACACCTTAAGGGTATTGAAATGAAATACATCCTTTTATCCAACCTATATACGTACACTATATGCACAATTTTCTGATTTAACAACAGGAAAATCCATCAAAATTCTTAATTATTTGGGTTCTGAAATGTTACCTATTGCCTTTTTGTAATAAACCAAATAAATATTGTTTAAAAATAACCAGGTTTTATGTTTTATTTGTTCTCAGGACCCTGTAACGAATTTTATCAATTCTACCGGACATAAGTATACATTTTTATTATATAATTCATGTGAAATCAAACCTTATTTGTGGCCTCAACTGCCGAAGACACCACTAGGAGCACAATCCCGCAGTTTCTTAGAGTATCCACAACAGATTCGAATAGAACATTACCAGAATCACAAGTTTTAGGAGCAACGATACAAACTATCACTGCGTACAGCCTGAGCAAGGTAATTACGTAACAAAACGCAATAGATTGAAATAGGTATACGTCAAAAGCCTGATTGATTCTGTCCGCTAGAAGTCTTAATGAATTGTTAACATTCAAAATTTGGCGGAATTCAAAGTTAATGTTGGCCATTTTCATGTGATCGGTTATAGTGAACAGTTGTCGACTGACTATGTGCAAGAGGATTGCGTACTGACTTGCGAGCAGAATCGGAGCACTCATGTACACTAATTCCAGCAATACCAAAACGGATGTTTTAAAAAGCATGGTCCTGTAATTAGAAAGCAGCCTGTACAAGAACGGAAAACTATGCACGGCTAAGATAAGTGCGATACCGGCCATGTAAGATCCGACGTAGGAAGTAGTACCAATACGACTGTGGAGGACCTCAAGATCCAAGATGACACTCTGCATATAGAACCTGTGACGGTAGTACAGCAGCAAGATGATTATCCACGTAGTGCAGTGGAGTAAGAACACGAGCAAGTCCATAACTAGGAGCAGTGAGAGAGGGTTGTCCCTCAGCGTTAAGTAGGACCACCAACTTCCATATGATGAAGTAACTGCAGACACTAAGAGGCTGTAAAGGTAGAGTTTCCAGGAAAAGGAATAAGTGCCCTGGACCCGATGCAATGGGAAGACGCCGAAGAGGATGGACATGTTCAAAATGAAGATGTGACTGGTCCGGAACATGGTTGACATTTTACTACTAGCGGCTCGCATGCGTATTATCGTCGTTTGAGGATCAGCAAACTAATTACTTATTCGATATTTGTTGATAATCTCCCGAAGAGATACCGATTTCGTTCCATCATAGATAAAGATTTCAATGTTAAGTAGTTTATCTCGATTAGAATATTTCAAGTTTAATATTGTAGGTCACTTTCGAACAATTTTCTTATCTCTTGTTATTAATCGTAGATTAGTGAATAATTTATATCTTATAATATATTGCTGAAAAAAAAGTAAAGTACCTTTTTTTCATAGCCGTGATAGGAAGATCACTATATAAAGTTGAATCTCGCTACAGTACGTTAACAAACATTTATGTGAATATACAGATAATTATAACATATCATAGGCTACTAAAAATGTACATCCGTTACAGAAAATGGTACATCAACGTTTTCTCTAGTTTTTGGCCGTTATTATTACCATCTCTACTTGAATAAATCACTTGTTTTCTAAATGTTAAAAATATGCATTTTTTATTTTTTAGTGGAGATAACGAGAAAAAGTGACACCGCTTATAGGCATAGCCGAACGACCTACTTTTTAATTTTAAATATATTGTTGTGCACCCTTGTGAAAACATTCATAATAATGACACTGAAATATTGTTGAGCGAGATTAAATTAAATTTAAAAAAATATCAAAACAAAGCAGATGGCGCTGATAAAAAACGATGAAAGGCAATAGAACTTAAATTAAATATTGGGCCAACGGATCAAACAAAGAAAAACAAAGAGATATAAAAAAAAATCCCTTCTATTATTACAGAACAGGTCTGAAATAAAATACTTTTAGAGTGCTACCCACTGGTAGCACTCTAAAAATTTATTTACAAAAGGAGATCTCGAGGCCATCTTCTTTTTAGACACCTCGGAGGATTATCAGGAATCGAAGGGAAAGAAAGGTTAGAAATAAGAAGATTGGCTATTCAGTTTATTATGGAAGGATAGGTAATATTTACTTAAATCTCAACATTAAATTAAAGCCTTCGTTTGTACTTATTTAATAATACTACCGGCGTCATTGAAATTTTTTTTCTATACTCTGGATTATTTGTTTATTGATAATTATTACAATCTGCCTTAATAAAGGACATTTATAATAGAGTTCTGAGAGCACATTCACACCATATTTACAAATTAAATAAATAAATAAGCTAATTTGAACTAATATAAAGCTGAAAAAGAACAAAATAAAATATCATAGTGAAGGAAGAAAATATAAATAGTAATAATAGAATAAAAATAAATGAATAAAATAGAATTAAAATTACTGAAATTAACATTATTATTGTTCTTTGCGTAACAAACCATAATATATTTTTTAGATGTATTAAATTAACTGTAAGAGAGGCGTATTGCGAACGTGAGTTAGAATAATACTCCCTTGCAGTCAATATTCTTCATGTAATCTCTGGAACTTGTATTACTTATTAATCAAATCAATAACCATAAAGGCATCAAAGTTAGGCGAAGAGTTTAAATTTATTTTATTTTACTTTATTTTTGCATTAAAAAAAGCTTTAATGAAAATATTTCAAGACATTTAAATTTACCTCTCCTTTGAATCAGTCCTATCTCCTCTGGCTCCTTCACTTACTAATAGTGGCTTCTGTGCGTTGGTCAATAGCAGGATAATTAATTTCTCCTTTTTATTTATTTATTTTTATTTTCAGTCTCCCCTTCCTTGCCTTTTAAGCTGCACCGGATTCTTCCAGTACCGAAGGAGAGGGAGGAGCAATCATGCCGAGTTAAAAGTTCCACCGTGCGCCGGTATTTCAATTCGTAATCACTTGTTTATGTCAAAACTTCGGTTATCAGGTTGCAGAGCAACGCACGGTGCGCAAAAGCGTTAGTCCGCTCCACCATCCTACTCCTAGCGTCCTTAATATATTAAGCTTCCTATCAAATCGATCCCAGTGTGTAGTCGTTCGATGTCAACTTTCTTCCAAGGCACATCCCCTCTCCTGTGGTGTCCCTCAGGATTTCTCCGTATCTCCTACTCTGTTTACTATTTACATTAATGGCCTTTCCCTTCTGATGTACCAGTCCCAATTCCATACCTCTGCAGGTGATTTCCAAATATACCTGTTATGCCTCCTTTCTGACCTAATAGCAGTAACAAAAAAATACATTTTTTTATTCATTATGTTTAGTGGTTTATTTTGTGATTATTCTCTGAGACTCCAAACCCACATTTATATCACTGAATATTATTCTGAAGGGACTTGTCCCAGAATAAATAAAGCATTATTATTATTATTATTAAATAAATCGGAAGCGAATATGGTGATCCGGCTTGCTCAAAGCGTAAGGCATCAGACTCCTAACGTTTAGGCTCGATATTATTCCTTTTGAATCACTCACTTACATAATTACATAAGTATTTAATTACTGTAATTTTTAAGAGATTATTAGAACTGTAGACGATCATTAATGCCCTCTTAGAATTGAATCTTTGTTACTTATTCCAACTTTCGGTGAACCACATTTCAGCACCTTCTCACTTCCTGCTGGCACTAAAATTTATCTCTTATAAATTTCACCTAATTCATTTTGACGTATATTAAAATTTATATTTGTTACGAAAGTTTGAATTATTGCTTAAATTTAAGTAAATATAATAAAATAGAAATATCGCTTCACGTTATTCAATTTATGCGTGCACCAAGATTATCCTATATTGTTTTATATTCAACAGCAATAATATTTCAATGTTGATCATTTGTCGGCTAACTGGTTTTCGGAACAAACCAAATAGACGAAATTTCTTCCTAGAGAATGTTAAAGTTTTTACATCTGTTCCTTATCCATACCATAATGAAATTTCATTTAAAATCTTGCTATATATTGAAGAGAATATCGTGTGTAAAATCAAATTACTATTGAATTTAACGAAGTTTTTGCAATTATTTTTTATATATAAAGAAATTATATTTTACGAAAAAAAAAACGCTGCAATTTATTTCACAATGGCTTATTATTCCAAAGAACTATACATCTAAAGTAACTAAAGTAACCTTCCTAATTACAAAGAAAAGTAAATAGACGGTGATCCCAATTATAACGGTGACTAAACTTTTTTTTTCAATCATTAGAAGTATGCTAAAAAGAAAATAGCTTTAATTCAGTAACACATTTAAAATTGAAAAAAAACAAAGAAAGTATATAACATTTGGAGTAGAACTTATAAAAAAAAACTGGAGACCATACCTTTGCCCCTATTTTTTTTTTTTATGAAATTCCATAAACTTTTAAAAAACCAAAAGTGTATACTTTTTGAGTCATTCGGAATTAAATTTTACCATCCCTCGTAACTTTTTTCCCATCTTCTTTCCGTTGAAGTATGTTGAAGTATGTATATAGATCAATTTAAAGGGAGTCAAGAAAATGACTTTAGCGAAGTTTCATTGAAATCGGTACAATTGTTTAGGAGCTACAGTCTATGGCAACCCAGGTTTTTTGGTCGCCATTTTAAGTAAAAGTAAAAGGCGGATAGCAATGTCGTTGAAGGAGAATCATCCTCGGGTGACCTCTGATTTTATATCCAAATTTGAAAAAAATCGTTCCAGTAGTTTCGGAGAAAATGGGCGGACGGCGGATGGACAAAAAAAATTTTATTCGTTTTTCGAATCCTACGCATTCTGAAACGTGAAACCTCAAATTTTGAGAGGAGGTTTAAGTTTTTGATTTTTTTGGTCGATTATAGTGGTTGATTATTGAAAATGATAAACCAAAAACTCAATCATATCTTGTAATAATTTATTAATTATCTTTTAAATGATAAATAATTACACAAAAAGATTGAAAGAGATAAAAGCTTTGGGAGAAAAATCCCTTTAAGGGTTCTGAAACTGAAGCGCATTGTTATCGGCCTAACTGGAAGAAAGTTATATTTCTGTCTGCTATCGAGTGCTGAGTCACGTATAAAGTTCCCCTCAAGTCCCGAAGCCCGCTTAAAGTCTGCACAAGTTGCTAAGTCTTCCCAGTATTACAGGTTTATAGAACAGATTAAAAAATATGTGTGTCAGGTGTAATATGTTCGATGAAAGTTTCATCGGTGGTAAATAGTCAAGTTATTAACTAACTTAAATAACTGAAGAAGTATATGTTATTTTGGTATTAGCATGCGGTTTGGTCTCTTATTAGTCGAAAGACCAAGAACAGACTATAAAAAAAAATTTAACTCTAAAAATCGTTTTTAGCGGTTATATATTTTTTATTCTTGCGAATTTATAATTCAAATACATATCTACAACGGTTCCTTAACAACGGACAAAACTCTTCATTTTCATGATATGGACATTCTGCTACATATCATAGAATTAAGTAAATCTATGCCCATTAGCCAAGAGTTATGACGTTGAAAAGAACAAGAATTTCTAAATTTTAAGGAAGCTTAAGTTTGTTTATATATATATATATATATATATATATATATATATATATATATATATATATATACAACTTTTCCTTAATCGACCTTTGATCATTAAATTTAAACTTAACTATTTAATTGGGAATAACGTCATTTAATAAACTATTGAATGTTCATTTCTTTTATTTATTGACGTTTCGATCCCTGTATTTTCTTTTTATTAGTCAACCATGGGATCTTCTTCAAAGCTAGAACTACAAATAGCTCAATCGGTACACAATATTACTTCCATATGACTTTAATAACAATTATTTAAAAATGTTTAACCTACTTTTAAAAAATAGAGCTTCGATCAGGCCAGGGACACACCGACAGTCTCATCACCGTCCACTAGCACATATATTAAGCTACTGGATCGCTAAGCGTCTGCCATCCCCGGTCCTGAGCCCGAAGACAAATTATTACACAATAAACAATGAAAAATTGCATCTAAAACAATTGAAAGATGTTTCTATGATTAATATACCAGCATCAATGCTTCTTCTCTATGATCAATTCATCGATATCAAGTTTGAAGGTATAATAGATAGTAGTATTATACCCTCAAACTTGAT